GGCCACTTGGCTTGTATACAGACTTAACCTTTACCTACCCTCCAACACCGCACAACTTATCAAACTAACCTTGTGGTTTTGTTTGGATTGATTTGACTTTTTGTTGTTTCAACAGGGAGGATAATCAAGCTCTAACAGATGATTACAAGAGAATTACAGAACAGTTCAGAGAACTCCAGAAAAAGTCAAGGTGAGTTCTTTTCACCATTATAATGATTGCATGAAATCTAATGTTTCCTTGGACTGGGTTTTTCAAAGCCCAATTAAGCTAACCCAGGATTAGCGAGAATATTTATTTCAGTTTTGTATTTTTTTCGGGGAGATTTTCTGTTTATATTGTTTATCCTTCAGCTTTTAGCTTGCGTTTCTCAAACTACACGAAACATAAAAACATTTTTATACAGGAAAAATTGCTTCACTTTGCTTAACTTTTAATCCTGGATTAGTGTAAACCGGCTTTCGAACAACCCGGCCCTGCATGTTAGACTTTTAATCCTGTAGCTGATTTTTGTAAATTTTCTGCCTATGGGGAATTACTATTAGAGTGTACAGTGCACAACACAAAACTGAAAGTGGGACTACTGTAGCTACAGTCATTCAGGCCTTATCAACACGTCAACTACGCTCATCATCCAAGCATCTTCTTTTAACTCCATCTTATAACTTGAAAACATATGGTGCAAGTTAGATCCTTCTCTGTGACAGCGCCTACACTATGGAATGCCCTACCTTTCAAAATAAGAAATAGTTTGTCTGTGTCCATCTTTAAAAATAGNTAACTTGAAAACATATGGTGCAAGTTAGATCCTTCTCTGTGACAGCGCCTACACTATGGAATGCCCTACCTTTCAAAATAAGAAATAGTTTGTCTGTGTCCATCTTTAAAAATAGACTCAACACATTTCTGTCTAGAAAAGCTTTTTTCCATTTTATTTTACACTAATGTTTTTTTAATTTTTAGACAATTTTTAAGATTTTTTTCTGTGTTGTAAAACTCCTTTGAAGTTTAGGATACTGGCACTATAAATATCTTTATTACTATTATAATTATTGTTATCATTATCATTATCATTATCAGTATCATTATCATTCAAAGATGTTATAGTTATGGTTACACCTCAGTCAATTCAAGGTCCAGACAGGATTAAATTACTCATGATATCCCATACTGGGGAATAATAGGACTTCCTTGACTTCACGTTAACTAAGCTCATTTGATCTGTTACTTTTTCTAAGGCATTTCCAAGCAACAGATCAGAAGAAGTTCCAGGACATCTGGGCCATGAATGAGGAGCAGGTCAGAGACCTGGTGCACAGTGTGCTGGAAGAAGATAGAATCATCCATGAACATCAACTGGGTTTGCCATGGGA